ATTATTTACTAATATTTTCTATTGTTTCTAGTATGAGTAGTATCTGCAATGTCTATTTTAATAATTCTTAATTTACCCTAATTTCCCATCAGACGATATTTCGAATCTCTTTTCTCTTATTCATGATGGATACTCAGACTTATTTTAATTGTTTGTCAATTAAATAAATAAATATAGATTATTTACTATATATCCAGGAAGGCGCATCGAAAAGACAATACTTTCCAAAGTTTTGAAGCTTCAGTTAAATTACTTTCGAATCGCTCTTAAAATGGACCAAATATTATAAAAATTTTATAAATTGTTAAGTGCTAAATTGTGTTATAATACATATAATGAAGCGAAAAAGTGTTATCAGGCCCGTAGGAGTCGGAAATCTAGGTACTATAGCTAGAACTAGGAATTTATTAAAAAGACTAGTGAGTATTTCATCCAATATTAGCCTAAACCCACTGGTAGTCTATACAAATGGTAATATTTATCATTTAAACTGTAGCCTAAACTTAGTCTATACTAAGTTGGATTACGACGATTGATTTACCTGCATTTTGGCTGGTTTCGCATGGCTGCGAAAGACGCAGAGCCAGCCGTCGCTGATCTGGCACGTGGGCAGTCCATGATTATACTGAAAGTCCTCGAGGCGCGTGTGCTGCTCGGGCAGGCAGCTGAAGACCTGCAGCGACTCCTGCGAGCAGTCGCGATCGCAGCAGCAGTTGACCTCGCACAGATCCTGCCGCAGGTCGCAGGAGCAGTAATAGAAGCTCGTGTCCTTGCGAGGCGAAGCAGATGCTGGAGCTGTGCTGGCATTGAAGCTGTTTGCTGTGGCAGCAACGGCAGGTGTCGTGGGCTGTGTGGGCGCTGCAGTGGTGCGTGGCTTGGACGCCTTTCGTCGGGGCGGAAACGTTTGACTGGGCGTGGTCACAGCGTCTATTAAGGAACTGAAAGTAGTATTCATATCCAAATCGTAATTGTCTATTGCTGTTGTTGTTGCTGCAAATTCTGTTGTAGTCGAAGTTGTTGCTGTTGTTGCTGCAGTTGTTGTTGTTGTTGTTGTTGCTGGTGATGTTAGTGGTGTTGTTGCAGCGGTAGTGTTGTCGCCCCTTGAGACGCCGATTTTGATGCACTGCATCGGAGCTGAGAGCAGGCAAATGCCCAATACGGCGAGAGTTGTTAATATATTCATGTGAAGCATGTTTATTATTTAAATTCCACGCCGTATTCCTCAAATCTGCGAAATATTAAATTGAGTTCCACAATTATTTTGCCAGAGCTGCGCGTTTGCAGTTTGTAGCTGTGAGAGAGAGAAGGGGAGAGAGAGTGGAATGTGAGTAAAAGTAGATGAAGACAACAAATTAGATGTTAATTAAATAATGACACTAGCTGAAAATGAACTGAGAATTATATATATGGGAATATCAACTTAATTTCTATTTATTTAGGAAAGCTTAAATATTAATGAATTTACAAATTTAATATATACGAGAATAAGATTCTTGTTATTTAGAGAATCTGTAATATCCATAAATGCCCATATATAAAGCTAATGTATTTGTATGTGTATATGGGAGTCAAGATAAATAGTAAATTATAAAGCTTTTTTCTAGAATTCCCTCTTCTGCCCAAATCTACTCAAATTAAAGTTCATTAAACTGTAAACGAAAAAGCTCAACACAGCTTAATGTGACCAGCTAATTAATGAACTTCTCAAATAGGATTATTATCTTGGCAGAGCTTTATTTTCTATAAGCTCATCTTATACTTTAAACCACATTGAAGATCTATTTAGTTTTGTGATTCTTGAAGATTGTTTAATTTCGCGCTTACCGCTCTACGCCCGAGTAAAGTAAATCGTTTTTATGCAAAGCAGGACTACCGCCTCCGAATTTCTCCTTAACGCTCTGCCACCAGGTGCTCGGAGCAATCCTCCAGGTGTTTATCTCCAGGCGATGTGGGCCCGGTCTGGCCGGCAGGTGGACAAAGCCGTAGCCGACGGGCCAGCACTGCTGCAGGACGTTGACGGCGTACACTTCCACGAGTAGGCGTGGCCAGCCCTGCAGGGAGGCGGTGCTCAGGTGAATGTCGATGGGCTGAGCGAAGTCGGAGCTGTTCTGCAGGCGATGGCTGGAAACGTGCGTCTGACCCTGCACCTCGCCCTGCACCAAGCGCCAGGTGTTGCCTAGTGCCGTTAAATTACACAGTTAAGAAATATACATGGTACATATACTAATTTTTAATATTATTTCTTTTACCGCTCTGAAAACTCCACTTGCAGTACAAATGTGGCTCGTCGAAGTCAACAGCTTTCAATAGTTGTCCAATTATGTGCACTTCCGCCATCAATTTAGCACCTTTGCCAGCAGTACTTCAATTGAGTATAGTTTTTGAATACAATTTTCATACTTTTGAAACGCGTAACTTTGTATTTTCGAAATACTTTTTTGTTTTGGCAGCTGTCGTTGCCAGAGCAACCGATTGTTGTCATGGAGGCCATTTAATGAAGCTAATAATGCTGTAAGTGTAAATGTAAAACAATTTATGAAATTACACAATAATATTTTTGTTATATTAAACAATTTAAAATGCCAATATTTATTTGAAATTTCTTTTACAAAAGCGCGATTCATTCAATTGGCGCCGATTATATGTGTTATCGTCAAATTGTGGCGGCTGAACGATATGTATTAGAGCTGCCAACGTGGGGAGAAATCTGACGACAGAGCGCGTAATTTGGGGTGAATTTGTGTTAGTTAAACTTTGTTGTGTTTAAAAGACCAAATAAATACAAGTGACATTAACAATAAAATTATTTCGATTTATGAAAATTATAAGAATATGAATTTCTATTCACTATACCCACTATTTTTCAGCAGCAACATGTATTTATACTGGGTCTGCTAACTAACAAAGGTGTGAAAGGCAAATGTCTGAGCGCCTAACTTGTGGTGAATTTAAGTATTTAAATATGAAAAACGTTTGTTTGGTAAAAAAAAAAATGGATATATGTATTTCCTCAAGGTATTCGCTTCCTTCTTCCAAGTAATTCCTCTGAGTTTTTAATGCTTAGCTGTACGATTACATACTTCGCTTCACTTCACTTCACTTCTCTTCAATGCACTGAGCGACTGACCTCAACCAGGCCTGGGCGACTGAGGAAATGCTGCAACTGCACTTACTCAAAGTCGCGCTCAGTCGCCTAATGGAGCTCTCTCTGCTTATATGAGCAGTCTAGCTTCTTTTTACTCGAGTATAAATACCAAATGAATACTGCTGCATACACATAGACAACTTAAGTGATCTGTAGTTCTTCGTCCCTCGCTTTTGTCTGGTAGAGAGACAGACGGAGAGACGGAGAATGTAGGCAAAGATTCAGACAGTATATATGTACATTATATTATAAATTGTATATTTAAATAGGTTTCAGTTAACACTTGTAGAAAGATCACACTTTATTTCGGTCTAATTGTGCAGTTTTATTGACTAAAAATTTATATGAAATAAGTTTGTTGAATATTTGCTACAACAGCGAGAACTGGGCTGGGTCGGACATTATTTGGAGGACAGCCAAGGATCTTCTTTGATCTGGGGCACATTGTATCTGATTTTGACGGGGGCCAATATGTGCATGATCATGTGCTTGCACTCGCTGCTGGCTACCGGATTTTTGGGGAACACCAGCGATTGATTAATGCGCTTCAGCAGAATGTGCACGTTGGAGCCATCGTAGGGCAGGCGGCCAAAGACCATGGCATAGCAGACCACGCCGCAGGCCCAGATATCCGACATGAAAGGATCATAGGCAATGCCTGGGAGATATGAAGAAATATATGGAAATATGAATATATGAATATATGAATATATGAATATATGAATATATGAATATATGAATATATGAAAATATGAATATATGAATATATGAATATATGAATATATGAATATATGAATATATGAATATATGAATATATGAATATATGAATATATGAATATATGAATATATGAATATATGTGTCAATATATGAATATACCCTTTAGAATCTCTGGACTGGCATAGGCATAGCTCCCGCAAAAGGTCTTTGAGAGCACCACCTGGTTTTCGGCTGTGCGCGTATCCTTGCGTGCGAACCCAAAGTCGATCAGCTTCAGATTCCAGTTCTCATCGAGCAGTAGGTTCTCGCACTTGATATCGCGATGCACGACGCCCTTGCTGTGAATGTACTCAACGGCACTGATCAGCTGCTTGAAGAGGGTGCGCGACTGCGGCTCATCCAGGAATTTCTTTTCGCGCACATAGTCCAGCAGAGTGCCGTTCTCTGCCAGCTGCATTATCAAATAGACTCTAGAGGCGGGAATGGGGATAGGAATCGCCAGTCTGTAGTCGAGTCTCACACACTTACCGGTGACTTGTCTCGATGCTTTGGTAGAATGTAATGAGATTCTCATGATGCAGTCCCTTCACAGCCTCAATTTCGCGGGGCAGAAACTTTTGTGTGTATTCTGATGGCGCCTTCACTTTCGATATAATTTTGACGGCCACCCGCTTACCATACTCCTCGGAGAAGCCGATCTTCACTTTGGCATAGTTGCCCGTGCCAATCACTTTGCCCAGGATGATGCCATGCTCCTCGAGGATCGTCTTCTGTGCCTTGACCTTCTCATCTTTTGGCGGCGATGCGGTGGGCTTGGCCTGTTCCGATTTCTCGGTGTCAAATGTGTAGACTTTTTGCTCCGTGCGTCTGCCCGAGGCCTGATCGGTGACTAGATCTTGCGATGAATTTGAGGTAACTGCAATTTACGTATGTGTGTGTGTGCGTATTATATGTAGAGGTTGTGGATGATAAAGTTTTATATAGCCGTCGATACTCACTTGGGTCACCCTTTCTTTTTGGCGCTGTCGCCATTTAAAATGGTCCACGAAAGTACTTGTTCTGTGCCAAACTGCGCCAGGATGTTACCGAGCTCGTCGAGTCCTGTTGCCGTGAAGAAACCAAAGTATCATTGAGAGCTTTACTTGAGCATAGTTGCTATAAAACTACAAAATTGAAAAACCCTGAATTTATTTCTTTTTCATTCAGCTAAACGCTGTGACATTAAATTGATAACATTTTCGATTTTTCAATTTTTCGAATCGAACAACTCAATGTAGCCAAGGTGTTTTTCCCAATATTATAAACGAACAGGTTTTCATTTTGATGACATAAGTATGTGACTATATATTCGGTTATATATTGAATATATGAAATTAGAAAATTAGATTTTATTTAATGGAATCCTTATCAAATATAAAACTCTTCTCTCTATTACTGAAATAATTAGGATTTAGTCTGTATTAAATAACCTATAGAGTTCTCATGGCCATTTTCTTTATAAAGTATGTAATATGGCTGAAATTATGATTGATAATATATCAAAGAACATATCACAACGATTTAAGCAGTATTTGTTGCCTATTTCATACTTATAAAATTGTAATTGA